ATTAAGAATAAGAGCCCGGGAGGAATAGTCAGCACTGGTTGACTTAGACAGATAAGGCTAGACTAAGAGTAAGAGCCCGGGAGGAATAGTCAGCACTGGTTGACTTAGACAGATAAGGCTAGACTAAGAGTAAGAGCCCGGGAGGAATAGTCAGCACTGGTTGACTTAGACAGATAAGGCTAGACTAAGAGTAAGAGCCCGGGAGGAATAGTCAGCACTGGTTGACTTAGACAGATAAGGCTAGACTAAGAGTAAGAGCCCGGGAGGAATAGTCAGCAATGGTTGACTCAGATAGGTAAAGCTAGATTAAGGGCAGGATTAACGGCAGGAAGTGTGTTGCGTAATATTTGAGGCAGTATGAATCGGAGTAATTAGGAATTTGTTGCATAGTATTTGAGGCAATATGAGTCTAAGTGACTAAGCGTTGGTTGAGCAAATATTCGATTATTCATTGTTCAGTTAAGTACCTTGGGCACCTTTATTATACCCCTTGTTTGCATTCTCACCCTATTCGATAGAAGGTCATGGTTGATACCGGACTAGTGTAAGGGACCAGGACCAGTTATGGTTGGGGCCTGGTGAGCACGGATGGAACGTGTCGTTAGAGGTTTAGAATCGACAATGGTTGATTCAGGGCGTCTAGATCAGAGCAAGAGGAAGAACCAACAGTGGTTGTTTCAGGGCACCTAGATTAGGCACGGTCAAGGCGAGTTGACCGTTCTATCCGTGTTTTAGGTTGCAGCGCTAGATCGCTGGGCGTTTATGGGCGATACGAGTCTGGTTAATTAGGATTTGAAGTAGAGGTTGTCGAATTATTCATTGGGTTGTTTCATAGTTTAATTTTGTTTACCCTTTATTATCCCGCTCGTTTCCATTGTCCAAACCCTTAATTAAATGCAAATAAACTTCGAACCGGGAAGCAAGTGTCCACTGCTTACAGCTCTTCAGTGGAATTAAGTAGAAGCTTTTCAACGTTCAGTTGATTATCCAGATAATCAAACGTAGGTAAGAAGATCTGAGGAACCAAGCTATATTTTCCTGTGAAATGGAATATTATTTAAATTTGTTTGAAAAATATAAAATAGAGGGTGCCCTCACGTATCTGACAGTACCGAACAATAATAAGCTTGGAGAGATTTGCTTTTCTTAGAAAATTTATTTGATCGACTCTCTTCTGTTCAGAGAGAGAAATAAGAAAGGTATTTAATAAAAGCAATTAAGGGAAATGGTATTTATGGTACTGCCATCCCAGTCGTTGGGATACTGGGTCGTCGTTTACACTCCTCTGATAATTTCAATAAACTGAACAAAATTCCAATTTTTGATACAAATTCTTTTTAATAAGCTAATAAGGAATAGGAATTGAAATATTTTTGTGGTTACAATGTTTATAAAAATTGTCAATTATCTTCGGAGTGTGCCCGTTCATCAGCGAGCAGTCGTCATAATGAAATATTGCAACTTAACCCTGTTATCAGCCTAGAGTAGTGGCTGATTGTTGTTTGTTTAGGTGACATGTTCAGATTGTTATCAGACTAGAGTAGTAGCTGAGTGTTGTCTGTTTAGGTGACATGTTCAGATTGTTATCAGCCTAGAGTAGTGGCTGAGTGTTGTCTGTTTAGGTAACATGTTCAGATTGTTATCAGCCTAAAGTAGTGGCTGAGTGTTGTCTGTTTAGGTAACATGTTCAGATTGTTATCAGCCTAGAGTAGTGGCTGAGTGTTGTTTGTTTAGGTAACATGTGCAGATTGTTATCAGCCTAGAGTAGTGGCTGAGTGTTGTCTGTTTAGGTTACATGTTCAGATTGTTATCAGCCTAAAGTAGCGGCTGAGTGTTGTCTGTTTAGGTTACATGTTCAGATTGTTATCAGCCTAAAGTAGTGGCTGAGTGTTGTTTGTTTAGGTGACATGTTCAGATTGTTATCAGCCTAGAGTAGTGGCTGAGTGTTGTTTGTTTAGGTAACATGTTCAGATTGTTATCAGCCTAGAGTAGTGGCTGAGTGTTGTTTGTTTAGGTGACATGTTCAGATTGTTATCAGCCAAGAGTAGTGGCTGAGTGTTGTTTGTTTAGGTAACATGTTCAGATTGTTATCAGCCTAGAGTAGTGGCTGAGTGTTGTTTGTTTAGGTGACATGTTCAGATTGTTATCAGCCTAAAGTAGTGGCTGAGTGTTGTCTGTTTAGGTAACATGTTCAGATTGTTATCAGCCTAAAGTAGTGGCTGAGTGTTGTTTGTTTAGGTGACATGTTCAGATTGTTATCAGCCTAGAGTAGTGGCTGAGTGTTGTTTGTTTAGGTAACATGTTCAGATTGTTATCAGCCTAGAGTAGTGGCTGAGTGTTGTTTGTTTAGGTAACATGTTCAGATTGTTATCAGCCTAGAGTAGTGACTGAGTGTTGTCTGTTTAGGTAACATGTTCAGATTTTTATCAGCCTAGAGTAGTGACTGAGTGTTGTCTGTTTAGGTAACATGTTCAGATTTTTATCAGCCTAGAGTAGTGACTGAGTGTTGTCTGTTTAGGTAACATGTTCAGATTGTTATCAGCCTAGAGTAGTGACTGAGTGTTGTCTGTTTAGGTAACATGTTCAGATTGTTATCAGCCTAAAGTAGTGGCTGAGTGTTGTTTGTTTAGGTCACATGTTCAGATTGTTATCAGCCTAGAGTAGTGGCTGAGTGTTGTCTGTTTAGGTAACATGTTCAGATTGTTATCAGCCTAGAGTAGTGGCTGAGTGTTGTTTGTTTAGGTAACATGTTCAGATTGTTATCAGCCTAGAGTAGTGGCTGAGTGTTGTTTGTTTAGGTAACATGTTCAGATTGTTATCAGCCTAGAGTAGTGGCTGAGTGTTGTTTGTTTAGGTAACATGTTCAGATTGTTATCAGCCTAGAGTAGTGGCTGAGTGTTGTCTGTTTAGGTGACATGTTTAGATTGTTATCAGCCCTAAAGTAGTGGCTGAGTGTTGTTTGTTTAGGTGACATGTTCAGATTGTTATCAGCCTAGAGTAGTGGCTGAGTGTTGTTTGTTTAGGTGACATGTTCAGATTGTTATCAGCCTAGAGTAGTGGCTGAGTGTTGTTTGTTTAGGTAACATGTTCAGATTGTTATCAGCCTAGAGTAGTGGCTGAGTGTTGTTTGTTTAGGTAACATGTTCAGATTGTTATCAGCCTAAAGTAGTGGCTGAGTGTTGTTTGTTTAGGTGACATGTTCAGATTGTTATCAGCCTAGAGTAGTGGCTGAGTGTTGTCTGTTTAGGTAACATGTTCAGATTGTTATCAGCCTAGAGTAGTGGTTGAGTGTTGTTTGTTTAGGTAACATGTTCAGATTGTTATCAGCCTAAAGTAGTGGCTGAGTGTTGTTTGTTTAGGTGACATGTTCAGATTGTTATCAGCCTAGAGTAGTGGCTGAGTGTTGTCTGTTTAGGTGACATGTTCAGATTGTTATCAGCCTAGAGTAGTGGCTGAGTGTTGTTTGTTTAGGTGACATGTTCAGATTGTTATCAGCCTAGAGTAGTGGCTGAGTGTTGTCTGTTTAGGTAACATGTTCAGATTTTTATCAGCCTAGAGTAGTGGCTGAGTGTTGTTTGTTTAGGTAACATGTTCAGATTTTTATCAGCCTAGAGTAGTGGCTGAGTGTTGTTTGTTTAGGTAACATGTTCAGATTGTTATCAGTCTAGAGTAGTGGCTGAGTGTTGTCTGTTTAGATGAAATGTTCACACTAGTTATCAGCCTAAAGTAGTGGCTGAGTGTTGTTTGTTTAGGTAACATGTTCAGATTGTTATCAGCCTAGAGTAGTGGCTGAGTGTTGTTTGTTTAGGTAACATGTTCAGATTGTTATCAGCCTAGAGTAGTGGCTGAGTGTTGTCTGTTTAGGTAACATGTTTAGATTGTTATCAGCCTAAAGTAGTGGCTGAGTGTTGTCTGTTTAGGTAACATGTTCAGATTGTTATCAGCCTAAAGTAGTGGCTAAATGTTGTCTGTTTAAGATTGTTATCAGCCTAAAGTAGTGGCTGAGTGTTGTTTGTTTAGGTAACATGTTCAGATTGTTATCAGCCTAGAGTAGTGGCTGAGTGTTGTTTGTTTAGGTAACATGTTCAGATTGTTATCAGCCTAGAGTAGTGGCTGAGTGTTGTTTGTTTAGGTAACATGTTCAGATTGTTATCAGCCTAGAGTAGTGGCTGAGTGTTGTTTGTTTAGGTAACATGTTCAGATTGTTATCAGCCTAGAGTAGTGGCTGAATTGTTGTCTGTTTAAGATTGTTATCAGCCTAGAGTAGTGGCTGAGTGTTGTTTGTTTAGGTAACATGTTCAGATTGTTATCAGCCTAGAGTAGTGGCTGAGTGTTGTCTGTTTAGGTGACATGTTCAGATTGTTATCAGCCTAGAGTAGTGGCTGAGTGTTGTCTGTTTAGGTGACATGTTCAGATTGTTATCAGCCTAGAGTAGTGGCTGAGTGTTGTCTGTTTAGGTAACATGTTCAGATTTTTATCAGCCTAGAGTAGTGGCTGAGTGTTGTTTGTTTAGGTAACATGTTCAGATTTTTATCAGCCTAGAGTAGTGGCTGAGTGTTGTTTGTTTAGGTAACATGTTCAGATTGTTATCAGTCTAGAGTAGTGGCTGAGTGTTGTCTGTTTAGATGAAATGTTCACACTATTATCAGCCTAAAGTAGTGGCTGAGTGTTGTTTGTTTAGGTAACATGTTCAGATTGTTATCAGCCTAGAGTAGTGGCTGAGTGTTGTTTGTTTAGGTAACATGTTCAGATTGTTATCAGCCTAGAGTAGTGGCTGAGTGTTGTCTGTTTAGGTAACATGTTTAGATTGTTATCAGCCTAAAGTAGTGGCTGAGTGTTGTTTGTTTAGGTAACATGTTCAGATTGTTATCAGCCTAAAGTAGTGGCTGTTTAGGTGGCAAATAGATAATATAAAATTACGGATATCTAGATTAAGTTTTTAACACGCAAATATTCTTCTTCGATAGAATTATCAGATAGGTAGCAGATTCAACATTCACTCAATTCATCATGCATTCTTTCAGGAAATTCAAGATATAAACTGTAAGAAAACCTGGACTTATTGTTTGACTTGATTCAGGGGAAGGACTGCTTGTAGTTGTGGTTGAGTAGGGTGTGGTATAACTGCTTGATGGTGCTGATGTAGATGTTGTTTGACTTGATTCAGGGGAAGGACTGCTTGTAGTTGTGGTTGAGTAGGGTGTGGTATAACTGCTTGATGGTGTTGATGTAGATGTTGTTTGACTTGATTCAGGGGAAGGACTGCTTGTAGTTTTGGTTGAGTAGGGTGTGGTATAACTGCTTGATGATGTTGATGTAGATGTTGTTTGACTTGATTCAGGGGAAGGACTGCTTGTAGTTGTGGTTGAGTAGGGTGTGGTATAACTGCTTGATGGTGTTGATGTAGATGTTGTTTGACTTGATTCAGGGGAAGTACTGCTGGTAGTTGTGGTTGAGTAGGGTGTGGTATAACTGCTTGATGGTGTTGATGTAGATGTTGTTTGACTTGATTCAGGGGAAGGACTGCTTGTAGTTGTGGTTGAGTAGGGTGTGGTATAACTGCTTGATGGTGTTGATGTAGATGTTGTTTGACTTGATTCAGGGGAAGGACTGCTTGTAGTTGTGGTTGAGTAGGGTGTGGTATAACTGCACGATGATGCTGATGTAGATGTTGTTTGACTTGATTCAGGGGAAGGACTGCTTGTAGTTGTGGTTGAGTAGGGTGTTGTATAACTGCTTGATGATGATTCCGTAGTCGTTGTAAGATATCCTGAAATAATTAATTATTAACCATCACAAATTTTTCAGGAAATGATGAAAAATATAGCACTGAATCATAATTTTTCCCGACCTTAGGCACTTCATTGTTTGGATAAGTTTGTGCATCAGAAATAAGGCCGACCTTTTTCACGGCATGACTGAATTCGTGGCGGCGGTGTTTAATTAAAGATGCTAGCTAAGTAAACAGAGCTAAATGAAAATACAATTCTCACCCTCGATAACGTCTAAACAAGCTAGTAGGATGACAATGAGGGACAGGAAGGAGATATTTTTGATGACTCTTGCCATGAGCATTAACTATTAATGCTGTTACCATTAAATAACAATCGAGGAAAAAGATAATTATTGCATTAATAATAATACCAACGAAACCCAAAACACTGAACTTTAACCAAAACGAGTAGGAGGTACAATTTGGATAGTGTAACAACATATTTCAGATGTTCAGAAAATAGGAAGCAAAATTAACAACTACAAACACACAATTTCATTAAGTAAAACGTTAAGGCCAAATCAGGAATGCTCTGAGAGTCTGGAGTAGGTACATTCTATTATATTCCTCCCTAAACACTCTGAAATTCACTGATCACAAAAGCAAAAGTGACCGTTCACAAATGGGGAGGATTTCTATGGCGGCCGAGATGGCTCACCTAAATTTTCACTGAAAATTTTTAATTTAAAAATTAATTATACAATTAATCACAAAATAAAAACGATTTTGAATTTGATTTCTAAAATTATTTTAAAATTTAAATAAAAAACGATTTTCATATTGAAATTAAAAACAATTCTCATTTTGAAAACGGTTTTGATTTCGATTTTGATTTTGATTTTGATTTCAATTTTGATTTTCATTTTGAAAACGATATTGATTTTGACTTTGAAAACGATATCGATTTTGATTTTAAAAACGATATTGGTTTTGATTTTAAAAACAATATTGATTTTGATTTTGAAAACGATATTGATTTTGATTTTGAAAACGGTATCTATTTTGATTTTGAAAACGTTTTTGATTTTGATTTTGAAAACGTTTTTGATTTTGAAAACGGTTTTGATTTTGAAAACGATTTTTATTTTGCAAACGATTTGCACGTACGTTTATATAGGTGAGCCATCTCGGCCACGCGCAAAAAAAACCATTTTCAAATTTGAAAATGAAAATGATTTTGTTTTGCGCGTGGCCGAGATGGCTCACCTATATGTACGTACGTGCTGCGCCACGTTATTGATTTTAAAACGTATGCGCGTTCCATATTGACCGCTTTTACATATTCTGCATCAGAAATTGCCAGATAACACGAGGGAATATGGCTATAAATAGATTTTGCACTATAGATTTTGGAAAGTGCTTATTAACCCGATAAACTCAGTGAATGTCCTTGCTGAACGGTCTGTGAAACAAGGAACTGAAACTGAGGGGTCCCGTGCAGTGCACTATAATAGTGCAAATTACATTTATAAATGGCAAATTCCTTATATGTTTAATGTTGCGGTCACGAGTCATCTCTGCTACCTATTTACCGTGCCTCCCGATTTATCATACGCAGTGGTTTTTTACCGCATGAAATTCACATTAGACCATGCATGCATCTCCCTTTCCCCGACAAGCACGGCTAATCGGGAGATAACTATAACACTAGTTACCATCAGCCATACTCTATGATCCCAATAAATTTCATGAGCGTTATCGTTCATTCACTACCCGAATAAACGGTACATCAGCGCAATATATATATATTTTTTTAAATATATTCTATTTTTTTTTTTTATTGAAATCTTTCAAATCAGTCAATTACATACAAGTTTACACAATGAATTAGTTAAATATAATATTGTCCTCTAAGCATGGATTGTCAAAGTTGAAATTGTCTCGGACAAAATGTATGTAACCAAAGGACCTGAGGGTCACCAAAACACAGATATTGAGTGCAAATGCAGCTCCTGCACAAGCATGGGCCCTTATAAAATTGTAATAAGTTACTTTAAACAAAATCACACACCCATTCAATCAATTCATAAAATATTGTGCTGTGAGATGAAATTGAGAAATATGTGAATGCAGACAGCAAGAATAGATAATCTTGAATAAACTATTTTACGGATTTGTTTCTATTGAATAGTCAAGTTCAGAGTCCGAATCCACCGGGATAATTTTCCCCCACATGTAAGTGGAAAGTTTACTTTTAAAATCAGTGATACTCTCTATCTCACGGATATCTAGAGGAATGTGATTCCACTTAGTGTGGGTCCTATAGAAGAAATTCTTGGCAAAAGCGTTGGAGCTTGCTCGAGGTGAGATAGAGCTTACAAAACATAGAGAGTCCATGTGACTATTTCTGAGCCTTGAGTGGCCTTGAAATGGTTGCAAATATGAGGGTAAAGTGACAGGTATATGTTGCTTCACAATTTTAAAGAAGAAGATGAGATCCAAGAAGTCAAAGCGGTCTTCAATCGGCATAATCTTCAGCTGTCTGCATTTTTGAATGTATGTGGATGGTGGATAACTCATATACTCCTCGTGAAGAATCCACTTAATAGCACGCTTTTGGAGGCCCTCCAGCTTGCTTATCTGGGATTTTGTGACTGGTCTCCATATAACCGAGCAATGCTCAAATAGGCTCCTCACTAAAGTGAGATACAGTACTCTACGACGATTTACGTCTTGGACAAAATAACAATTTCTTCTCGCCATGCCTAATTTTTGGTTTGCCTTAGAAAGGACTTTGGAGCACTGATCTTTCCAATCGAGATTTGATGTCACAATTACACCCAGATCCTTTTCATGATCAACATAGTCAAGTGTGATTCTTCCCATGGAGTATACAAAGTTAAAGAGTGGTAGGACACTAAGGAGGGAAACTGTTTCGGATATCCTTCCTGCGACGGTGAGGACCTTACATTTGTCGGGATGAAATCTCATTTTATTAGAAAGTGACCAGTCATGGAGATAATCAATGTCCTTCTGCAGTCGCAGGATATCAGACTCCGAAACAATCTTACGCCAAATTTTAGTATCATCGGCATACAGTGACAGTTGTGTGCCTGGTGAAATCCCCACTGATATATCATCAATGAACATAATGAACAGCAATGGTCCCAAAATTGACCCTTGAGGTACACCAGACTGGGCGTTTCTCATAGAAGAAAACTTGCCACTTATCAAGACCTGTTGTTGCCTGTCTCTTAGATAATCAGTGATGAATTTCAGTAGCCTCCCATCAATACCAAATTTGCTCTTTAGCTTAAATAATATAAGATCATGGTTAACCGAGTCAAATGCTTTGGCAAAATCAAAGTAGACTACATCTGTTCTCATATTTTCATTCAGTGAGAGCGCTAGGCTGTCGCACAGTCCTACAAGATTAGTTGCACAAGATCTCTCAGCTCGGAAACCATGCTGTTTGTCATTGATCATGCCATTAGTAAGTGCCAATAACTCATCTCTTATTATGCGTTCAAGAACTTTTGTGATTAAGCATGTAAGAGAAATTGGCCTATAATTTGAAACCTCATGTTTATCCCCTTTCTTGAATATTGGTACAATGTGCCCCAGTTTCCACTCCCTTGGTAGTGTCCCAATGTTGTAGCATGAATGAAAAAGTATTGATATAGGGTATGCGAGCCCAACCGCACAGTTTTTCAAAAGTTTCCCATGGATACCATCAGGTCCATAAGCTTTATTAGCATTAATATTGGAAAGGATTTTGCGAACCCTTCTGTGGTCAAATTCAATATCAAAGCGCCAATCATTAGAGTAATCTATATCTATGTCATAAGTTGATGCCTCAGAGAACTGCTCGAAGAAAAAGTCATTAAATAGGTTGGCCTGGTCTTCAGGGCAGTTGCGGACAGTGCCTTTGTGGCTTACAAACTCAGGGATCCGCTGACTAGCTGTCTTCGATTTGACATAGGACCAAAATTTTTTTGTTATTAAAGCACTATCATCAGATTCATTTAATGTTTCCCTCATTTTTTGAGCAACCACATTTTTGAAATTCTTCCTAGCAAGGGAGAATGCAATTTCAGCTCTATCACTTTTATGCCTTTCTTTATGTAATCTCACTTTCTTACGCCATGCATCATAACACTCCGAGTCAAACCATGGATCTTGGCCATCAGTCTTGACAGAGCATTTTTTAACAAATTTATCTGTGACATTAAAAAGTTTGTCCTTAAATTTTTTCCATCCAATTTCAGGTTCTGTGCCATTGAGCAATGCATCCCAATTCGTGTGTCGGAGTTCATGGTTTAGCCTCTCCCAGTTCACAGTCTTAAAGTTATAGCACATACGCCTGACTGGCTTCTTCCTACCAACTTTAACGTTGATCTTAAAATTGATGGGGAAGTGGTCAGACTTGCAAGCACTATCTCTCTCACCTACCATTAGGTCATTAATATTTGACACAGAGTTTGTGAGCAATAGGTCAAGTGTTTTGCCTTTGCAGTGGGTAGGTGTTAACACACATTGTTGAAGGCCTAGATCAACAAAAGATTCAACAAAAGATTGCTCAATAGGACAGGAGCTGGCCAGGGTAGACCAGGAAACTCCGGTCAGGTTAAAATCTCCTAGTATGAAGACTTTACTCAGTCCTCTTCTTCTGAGAAGAGTTTTCAAAGACTCAACAATTTTTTCATGATTTGCGGAGCCCAGTGTACCAACACGATAACATGTGCATACAACAAACTTAATTCCAGTGGATGTCTTAAATTCCACAGCAAGAATTTCTGCACCATACTTGAGATGAGACCAATTTAATTTGACCAATTTTACTTTTGATATAACAGCACCTTTAAACTTAGATTAGAATGAACAGCACCTTCATTATTAGGACAAAATAAATCATAAATAGTATTTAACAGAATATCAAAACAAACACACTTCTCCGTGCATTTTGGGTGCGCTGCAGACTATATGTCAAAAATAACATAATTGGTACGATTTGGGAGCAACACGGCTCTAGGAAACTCTGTTGAAACTTTGAAAGGATAAGTGAAACGATACGAATTTGGATTAAATTTAGATCAAAACCGACATTACGGCACGTATTGACCTCACTTCAGGTCTCATTATACCTCTGTGTAAGGCCAATACGTGCCGTAATGTCGGTTTTGATCTAGTTTTAACAGAGCTGCCTAGAGCCGCGATGCTCCATAATTGTACCAATTATGTATCTAACTCACGCTTGGCCCTCCATGAACATTACACATATATTTCAAAATCCAACCCTGCTAAAAGAAATTTAGTTTGCGTTGTATATTAAAAGTGGATTGATTTTTTAGGAGTA